AACAGCAGCATGGACCTGGATGTGCTGAACATGTTTGTCATTGCTGGCGGCACCCTGGCCATCCCCATCCTGGCCTTTGTGGCCTCCTTCCTTCTCTGGCCCTCAGCGCTCATCCGCATCTACTACTGGTGAGTTCATTAGCCCGGCTGCTCTCATTTTAGCGCAGGGGTGGAATCACTGCTGGTGCCTGGCAGGTCCCAGCACCCTCGCACACACACAGGTGCACAAAGAGCTGGTGGGCAGCAAGGCGATGGGGACAGAGGTGGGTGTTCCTGCCCATGGTGGCGATAGGAGCAGGTAAGGTGGGGTTTTCCAGGGGCATACCAGCTGTGTCTATGTTTAAGCATCTCTGGAAGAAGAAAATGGCATCTTCTTATTGCTTTTTTGCTGCTGAGGCTTATGTCTGTTGGGGCAGCCTCAGCTGGGCTGCGGGACGTCTCCGAACCTTTCTGGGTTGTTCCCCCAAGGATGGGACTGCAGCTGGGAAAAGCATCGCCATTGCTGCCCATCCCCCAGGCTGGCAGTCCCAGCAGGCTGGTGACCTCCCGCCTCCTCAATGCAGCTGTCGACGTGGGTGTCCTCAGCTCTGCTGCGGCTCCCCGGGCTCATGTGCTCCCTCCTGGTTACCAGCCTGCTCAGCAGACAGGGACTTTTCTCTCGCTAGTAGTTACAGACGAGGCTTTTCTCATTCTCTCCTTCTCTTCTGGGCTGGAGCATCAGAGAAGATGGAGCGATGCTTTTCCTTACCCCCTTGCATCTTGTCCTTTCCGATTAACAGCAGGCAGGCACTACATTCCTCAGTCCTTGTCTGTCCCTGGAAATCAGTGATAAGCACGCTGGCGGCTTTCCTGTCTGGGTTTGTTGCAGAGGAAAGCTGGAATAATGCTCCCTTCAGAAGTCGGGGCAGTGTCTCATCACCTGGTGTGGGCAGCAGCAGGCAGCGCGGCAGGCTGCCCTCACGTGCTGCTGGCAGATGGTGGCTCCTGCAGTTTTGCTCACGGGGTGTTTCCAAATCAAAGTGACCTCCTGTGAGAGAAGGACATTAACCCACCCTGGCACTCAGACGCAGCAGCGTGATGAAGCCTGTTTTTCTAACGGCACATTTATTAGCAACCTTTTAATCACAGCATCTGGGGACTGACAGAGAGGAGGGGGGATGGCATGAAAACCCCGGTGACTGGATCGGCATGGGAGAGAATTTATTCCCATTGTGCATCGCCTGGGGACCTGCAAGGCCAAACGTCGTTCTGCAAAGGACAGCAGGCGGTGTGACAGCCTCCTGCCCTGGGGATGTCAGGGCTGGTGCCCGGGGACAGGCCCAGACAGTACTGGGTTTGTCAGTCAAAGGGTTTTCTTTTCCTTTGGACATATGAGCGGCTGGTGGAAGCCAGGGAGGACCCTGATGGGCTCAGGTTCAGAGGAGGATCAGTGGAGAAATGCTGCCATGCCAGGGCAGAGCGAGTGTGATCAGGGCGAAGCCTTCAGAGGGATGTGGGCAGGGGTAGCAGGACAGGGCAAAGGAGGTGGAAGGGGCTGATGCCGGGGAGCTTTGAGGAGCCAGGTTGAGCGGGAGGTAGAGAAGACCCTGCCTCCTTGTCCTTCGGGGTTGTAAATTAGGGGCTGAGTGAAAATGCACCGTGGGTAGGTCGGTCTGTGTTCGGCTGAGGGACAGAGCATGTGAGCAGAGATCAGCAGGGCTGTTTTCTTTTGAAGGGTGAGTGCCCCCATCTCTCTCTCAGTGTTTCTGGTAGCATTGGCATCTTGCAGCAGTGACTGCAATGCTCTGTGTTTCACGGGCACCTCGTTTCTTAGGGACAGCGGGTGAGAAGAGCAGGTTTGCCCTTTACTCTTCCTTTCCTATTTGCTTCTTTCCGAGTTGGCTTTTTTTGCAGCGAAATCGTTGTGTTTCCCCATCGGCAGAGGCAGGAGAGTGGGCAGGCAGCATGCCATGCTGCCCCCTGCTTTCAGCCCAATGCAGCTCCAGCTTTGTGGCACAGCTCCTAGGAAGTCCCCAGGAGGTCCCCAGGGACGCTTCTCCCTTCTCCCACCACTCACTGCCCCCCTCACTGCTGGTCTGCGTGTCCTCAGCCAGCGCGGCCAAGGGTCATGCAGGAGCCCCGTCACTGATGGCCTTGCTCCCTCCCTGCAGTTAATGTGCCTTCCTGCCAGGCGTGACATCTGGGGCTGCCCCACTGACCCCGGCCGCAGACCCTACCTGCTCTGCCTGCTCTGCTGCCAGGGGTTAATCAGTTTAGCTGCTGCTGCTAAGCGTGTTAGCACCTTGCGAGGGATCAGTTCAGCTTTGCACAGATTGTTTTGCCTTCTGCTGAATTGATCCATCAGGATCAGTTGCTAAAAATGTTATCATCTTTCCCATCGGTAGTTTACACCGGTGCCTTTGAGGCGAGGACTCTTAAGACACTTATTCAGGGAGAAATTCACCTCTCCTTGTAGGACCAGCACAGAGCCGAGGTGCTGCTTAAGTCCCACTAACTCCCTCCAAAAAGGGATTATGCTAAAAGAGGATTGCACTATGCATAAGCTTTGAGTGGGCAGAGAGCTAGGACAGCCCAGCAGTGTTGGTGACCTTGCTTTTTTGTCTCAAATAAATTCTGATATTGCATATAAAAGTATTTGCCAGTATCTTGGCCATCAGGAGTAGCCCAGTAGTTGTCCTGACAAGGGTTACGTCTGATCATAGGGGAAATGCAGAGAAAGCATGCCTGCTCCTCCACCTTGGACTGCACGTACGCATCATGTTCCAAAGTGTCACTGATAATCTCTGCCCAGGTCCCCTCTGGCTGGCAGTTTCACTGCATCCTCTTTGAGCACGCTGCAAGTGTGCACTGGCAGCAGCTGTCTGTCTTCTTGCTTTCAGAGGAATAACCCAGGTTTCCTTGGGGTTAGCCCGGTATCTTCTGGAGTGTTTGACCCTGTGTAAGGATGGTCCTCTCCAGTCCTTCGTGTGTGTGTAAACACATTTTTAAAGATTGTCTAATTGGCATATGGGAACCGGGTTTCTGTGGTGCTCCTGGTGATGCAGGTGTTTTGGCTGGGATCGATATGCTTGTCTGTGGGGTGATGTTATCCCATGGCTGCAGGGCTGCAAGGCTGTGCCCAAATAAACCCGACAGATCCACCTTACCCACCTGGAACAAGGCCTGCCTGTCCTGCATGCTGCCTTGCAATGTGTTCTACCTTCCTCTCTTGAGCCTCTCTCCTCATACCAACATTGGGGTGTTTTCAGTTTTAGAGTTGTTATTTTGGCCCATTTCCATTGCCAGATTAGTTATTTGTCATCTTTTTTGAAGTTTTTAACAAATAGAGTGTCTCCACAAATCATCTGCAGTGCTGCCATGAATAGCCAGCTGCCAGTACTACACATGTAAGGGATCACATGTAAGCACAGGGTCTGGTCCAGGGACCAGATGCTCAGAATTAGTCCCAGTTAGTGCCATGATGGCACTGGTGTGAGCCCAACCTAACTGGCCTTACCAAACTAGTGAATCTGCAGCTCAGTTTGGACCTGTCACCTGGCTTATATTGCCACCGGGCCCTGGTCTTGCCTCGCTCACTGGTGTTTTCTCCTTTCCAGGTACTGGCGCCGAGCTTTGGGTATGCAGGTTAGATATGCCAACTACGATGACTATCAGTTTTGTTATTCCTATAGAGGGAGACCTGGATACCGACCATCCATCCTGATGTTACATGGGTTCTCAGCTCACAAAGACATGTGGCTGTCAATAGTCAAGGTGGGACTCCATTTCTATCATGTTGCTACTTAGTGAGAGTCGATGGTCCTGGGCTTGAGGGCGGTGTGGGGACCCAACGGTTGCATGCATGGGATGTGATGATTGCTGTAACGTGCTAGAAATACCCTCCTTAGCTCTGTGCTTGTTGCTTGTTGGATCCCTTTCATCCCTAT